TCCACAGACCGCCTCTCCGTATTTCCCCGCACTGTTGCCGTACGTCCAATCCTTCCGAGACCAGTTTTACCATTACTTCCAGTTCTAGTGACATGCATTTTCCATGCATCCTCCATCTTCCATAAATTCGGCGGTGACCTTGTCCGGTTTGTGTTCCTTTCACACTGTTTTCGTTCTGATCGCCACAATTTTTATTGTCTACCTATGTACTTACACTGTTATTGTACATATGCTCGATCTGATCATTTGATCATGCCTTGTGCATGTCTCACGGGCTTCGTGTAATATACATCTATTATTATTATTATTAATAATCCTCGATAGCCTCAAATCACCAGAGATCCTGAAACCAATCAGGTGGTAATATTTTCAAACAAATACCAAGAAAACAATCACAGGCATCGTGGTTGAGTTCATTCAGAGCCCAACAGTGTGGCACTGTCTTGGCCAGACGAATACAATCAAGTGATCCAAATATGTTACAGGTGCATCCCACAACATTCCTTTTCATGTCGGAAAATTTTGATAAACAACCTGGTGGTGAAAAACTAGATGAGAAGCTTCAAATGCGTACCGCAGTCAATGTCAAACGACTGCAGACTGAGAAGGTATCAAAACTCTCCTCACCCAAAAACAGCACGAATATGTCCTTCGCTCCATTAGTCGCCAGTACTCCCGGCAGCATCATTGACATAAGCACAGAGAAACCAACCATAGTCGGGATCCTCAACAGCAAGTTGTTATCACATATGAAACCATCCCATGCTCCAGAAAAGTAGTTCAAAGGCCAAATCAAGGTGCCCATCATTCGACCGCTGGCTGGAAGGGGCCATTAGGTAATCCACCACGCAGGACAATTATCGCAGTTCCTACCCCGGCGCAACCGAAATCTTATCTCTCTAAAACTAAAAACTAAAGAAACAATCTCCCTGCGCCAAAACCCGTACTGTTGCAAGAGTCGCCAGATTACTCCCAGAGCGAAAGCTAAGAAAGGATTGTAACAAAAATAAGAAACACCAACCCCTTTTTGTGTTCTCAATAGACCGCTCTCGCCCACCAGACAAAGTGGAACCCCAAAACACTCGCAAGTGAATCTCGCGAGTACTCGACATGGATGCCAAACACATGGCACCACCATCAAAGAAGCTCTCACGGGTGCCACGACCTCTGCCATCCTACTAAACCCACTGAAATACATAGTGAGCAGGTGCTGAAGTGCGTATCAGCCAATTGCCTCAGTATAACTAATAAAATCCTTGAACTGCGGCAATTGGCGTGCGAAGCCACACGTAGTAGCCCTGACTGAGACGTGGCTCAATCAAGAGATATTAGATGGCGAAATAATGGTAGATGGTTTCAACTTGTTCAGGCACGACTCGAACCGTGGCCATGCGGGTGGAGTGGCTCTTTTTCTTAATAATTCCCTCCTACGTGCTTTGCGAGTTTCCCTTCCTACCATCCAATCCATTAAAACCCTATGGGTCAACATCGTCTTCCCGAGCAGGGATTCACTCCTCCTGTGGGTTGTTTATCGCTCCCCATCAAGCATACAGGAGGAATGTGAATCACTTCTAATTCAGCTGCACTTTGTCACACCTTCTTATCCTGGGTGACTTTAATGCCCCAAGTATCGACTGGCCCAGATGCCACTTTAGAGATAGAATGTTTGGTTTACCCCCTATAAACCTCTCCAATGAACATTCGTGTTACCAAAACGAAATATATCCCATAAGAAATCGTTTCGGTCAACGGCCCACTCTACTTGATCATGCGATTACCAACGAAAGACACCAGATCGATATGATCTCGTACCTAAGTCCTGTTGGTAAACGTGATCACCTTCTGCCATCGTTTGATTATATTATCCGCTGGCCAGCTTGCCGGCCCTCGTCCTGAATACTACGTTCCTTCAAAAGGGCTGGTTTCATTTTCCTGCGAGAATTCCTGGCCAAANAAAACGCTGGGCTCCTGGAATATTGACTCTGACCAGAACAACTGAATAGAGTTGCTCGAGAGTCTAATTCACGAGGCGGACCACTTGCTTATTCCTAGAGTTCAAGCTGTATCTGACCATAGGCCTCCCCTACCCCACTCCATTGAGCACCTAATGGACGAGCGGGCGCGTTCATTCGCTAGACTAAAATTTACTGGTCTCGACGCTGATGCTGTCAAGTTCAAGCGAATCCACAACTTATGTAAGCGGAGAGTTGGGGCATTCCACAATAGACAACAGAAAGCAATTCTTCTTCCTGCTAGAAGTAACCCTAATTCCTTATTTAAGTCACTCCGCCGTAAAAGGCAACCAACCTCCTCGGCACTAGCCCTCAAGCTACCTGATGGCTCTCCTGTAACTTTCTCTGCTCAGGTAACCGAAATCTTCTGGTTTCATTATGAATACGCCTTTTACTTTCCTCATTTCTCCTCCCATCCAAATCTTCCCTCTCTTAATACACTGCCCCCATTGGATCATTTCATCATTCTTCCAGGGGAGACCGAATTACTCCTCAAATCACTGAAACCCTTTAGTTCAATGGAACCAAACGGTATACACCCCCGGGTGTTAAAAGAAGCCACCTCGGTTCTTGCCCCTGTACTATTACACTCTCTTCCAAAAGTGTCTAGATACTGGAATATTCCCTTCAACCAGGAATACAAGCATCACATCCCTCAATTTCAAGAGGCAACCGGCACACTCCTAGTAGCAATAGACCCATCAGCCTGAATAGCGTACCCAGCAAGGTCTTCGAACGGGTTTTGAAAAGATTAATACTGAACACTCATCAGAAAACCAACATCTTTCCCAAACTCAACACGGCTTCCTCGTTGGCAGATCCTGCATATCCAATATGCTAGCTGTCATGGGCACTCTAACTCAAGCCCATGTTGACGCCTTGATTCCCCACGCAATATTCATTGACTATGCAAAAGCCCTTGATCGGTCCGCCAAGCTCTCTTACTTAGTAATCTCGAGTTATCAGATATCACTGGCAGACTGCGGACACAACTCCGCCAATTTCTCACAAACCGCACCTTCTCGGTTCGCGTAAGATCATCGCTCACATCTGACTCTTCCATTTCTACCGAAGTCCCGCAAGACTCCGTCCTTGGCCCTCTCCTCTTCCTTATATGTATTAATGAACTGCCACACAGGATTGGAGTCAACGTAGCAATGTAAGCCGATGATGTGACAATTTGAGGCACTGATCTTGTGGCTGTTCAATCAGCAATGGATGCAGTCAAAGATTTGTCTACGGTCTGGAACCTTCCAATAAACGACGAGAAATGCGTTACAATGTCGTTTGGGAGGCTCCTGTACACAGCTTCAGTGCTATGGCTTCCATGACCATGGAGAGTGAAGAGCATCATAAGGTTCTTGGTTTCTGTCGGACCACG